TTACCAAAAAGTGTTGTTACCAATGTCCTGTTACACATTTGTATTTACACATACCATTCGGTGGGTTGTTACATATGTGTAGTTACACAAAAATTACAGCTGTAGATAATTTTTTATTATTTATTATTTAGTCGTTTATTAGACGCTTTTATCCAAAGCGACTTACAAATGAGGACAACAGAAGCAATCAACATGCATGCAATGTGACAGATTGACAGTGACATGCATATGGTACAAATATTGTCACAACACAAATATAGGTATTAATCTGATTAAACTATTATTGGCTAAATTTACATATGCACTAAATGTGATTAATTTACCATAATCTAAAGCTTAATCACAATGTTGCCTTATTTGCATTATAATGGTATTAAAGGAAAAAACTGAGTTAACTATTGAGTGAGTAAATTTGGTGAATTTCCTGTAAATGTACTTACCCTCAGGCCATACTAGCTGTAGATGAGTTTGTTTCTTCAACAGATTTGGATACATTTAGCATTAAATCACTTGTTCACCAGTGGATCTTCTGCAGTGCGTCAGAAACAGAGTTCAAACAACTGATAAAACATCACAATAATCTACAAGTAATCCATAATATTACTTTCTCCAGTGAAAAAGTTATCTCATCTGAATCATAAAGGAGATAAATATGCACAGATTAAGCACCATTTATTAATGTAAACAGTTCTAAACAAATATGTTTGTGGATTTTCAAGTGAGAGGACAACAGGGGATGGACTTTTTCACTGTAGGGTGCATATCCAAAATATGGATTATGGACCTAGAAGTGACGGTTTAAAAGTAACATAACTTGATGAATTTGTTTCTTACAAACACAGCTTTTTACTTCACAAGACAAGTGATGTAATGCTAAATTTCTCTAAATCTGTTCCGATTCCGATCATTAACTTCACTAATGATGTGTTCACCAGTGCAAGAGCTGGCCAATAATTTCTCCCTTTCAGCAACCTGTCATTTGCATAAGAATGCAGCAGTTAGCAAACAACACTGATCCAGTCATTCCCGATCCAATCCAGTCCCGTCCTACATTTTTTCTCTTCACAATTTTCATTTCATGCCAACTTTAAATAGTAGTACTCTTAGAATATTGGGTCCCACTTTATATTAAGTGGCCCTAATACCTGTGTACTTGCATAGTAACTGGATGTGTACGTAATATGTAACCACAGTGTAAGTACACATTGGTACATAGTATCTACAGCTGTAATATTTCTGTAACTACACACATGTAACCACCCTCCGAATGGTTTGTGTAAGTACAAATGTGTAACAGGACATATATAACTACATTTTGTAACAACAATATGTATAAGAGTAATTGGAACAATTTGATCCAGGGGGTGGAGATGGGTAGGTTTAGGGGTGGAAATGGGATCCAGGGGGT